CCTTATGACCATGTGCCCATCTCTGCTTCTGGGCTTCTGACTGCCTTTTATACAATAATTTCCGTTTACGGGTGGCAAAGCCTCCCTTTGTGCATCCCATTTTCTGTCGTCTGTCAGTTCGGGAAATTGCGCGTTGTGGTTACTATGTAGATCGGAAACGGGTCTGATGCCGTAAAATAAACAGAGGCAGTCAATGACAATGCAGATAATTTAATTCTTATTTTTTATCTAAAAAATTATGCAGGAAAGTTAAATGAATAGCATAATTAATTATTTAATGTTTTATAAACGTCACCTGACGTTTTATTGAATGCGACTTTCATTCCACTTTGTGTTATGTAAAATGCTCACACTCATACAACCTTAATTGTTTGATATTGTGAGGAAGAAATTGTTTTGATATACTCAGACAATGCTTGAGATCCATGTATTGGTTGGAGTAATAATGTTGAATTTTAGTCCTTCTTCCACATATAATTACAGCTACATTCTCGTCGTTATGTGGATAATTAGCATACTCTAAAAAAGTAAACATTGCAATAACTGTGAAAAAAAGAGGACCATGGGCCACACCGCTCATCAGAGTCGATGTTAAATAAAAACAAATTCAAGTCATATCAAAACTGTATTTTACATGTATTCTTTAAAAATATTTGATATTGCATGATTAAATCAAGTTGGGACCAAACTATAAACTTAAGAAATGAGAATAAGAAAACCAGATATTTCTTCTAAGAATCTACACTGTTAACCAGATGAGGTTTCCGAAATCTGTATCGAGTACAAATATACAATTTCAACTGAGACATTTTTTTTCTTCCTTAAAATTACTCATCGATATTCAGATTTTCTACTGAAGTTTATGAATTTCAAGTTTACTCTAAGATATCGAATATACAATTTTTAATAAAAATATTGTTAAAAATTAAATGATCCATTCACTGATTTTGTTGCATCTTGCAACAATCATTCATCTAAAATAACTAGAAAGGGTACGGAGGTTCGTTTATTGCACGTATAGCCCATTGTGAACGATCCCTGTTTAAAAGTCCTGTTCAACTTTTTGGTTGAACTAAATTGTATGTTAAATATCATCGTATCATTACGTCATGAATATACTCTGGGATTCTAGGCCTTAATTTTGCTAGCCTTTCAGTTAGATATTTAGATTAGGAGCTTCTTAATTTCAAATAAATGTATCTCCTCTTCATTTTTTAAATAGTTGCTTTGCATATTATCCACTATATCGATAGATACTTTTAGTACACTTTTGTGTATGCAAATTAATAATCAAATTTCGAACTTTGCACATGATAGCATACTGTGAGATAAAATAATTTTACAAATATGACACCAATTTTAAAAATATGAGCATTCGATCAGCTTTTGAACTATACTTCCAAAGAAGACACATGATATGAATGAAGTAAACATTACCATCAATAATAGTACAAAACAAATCTTTCATTTGTAAGAATCCTTCCATTCCAATACTTGAAGATGTATCCAGTATAAATACATTGCATGGACTTTTTCCCTGTTGATAACGAAGGTCACGATCTGGAGAGGGATAAAAATTTCCAGAAAGGGTAAAGCAAAAGTTAACATTCTCAAGAAGGATCGTGTGTTACATTTAAAACAGATAATACTGTCACATTTGCATTGTATTTATTTTTATCAAAATTATTTTTATATATACCAAACTTGCATTTGTATATATGATCGTACTATGTAGTACTCACTATTTTGAGCCTCAATACGTGCTTGTTCCTGCCAGAGTTCCTGTGCTTTTCTAAATTCAAGAGCCATCTATACATCACCGATCTAAAGAAAGAGAAAGAATTTTTAATTTTCATTATTATTTAGCAGCACATCGTCTTTGGGTGTAAGTTTAAATGATGCAAAGTATCTGGGATATGTGTATTGTATTAACATGCTTTAAACTATTCTTTCTATGTTTGAATAATGAACACAGGACTTTTGAATTTTGCATATAGTCAATGTCAAATCTATATGTGCTTGTATATAAAAACTATATGAGCTTGTAAACGAATGTCATCAAATATGACGATATTAAATCATTATTACGATCGTAATTCGTTTTCTGTAGATACTTGTAAAGTAATCCAGCTTAGACAATACTTTATTTCAAAGAAAATTAAGTTTTACATAAAAATCTTTAAAGGACGACAGGGACCATGCAGGTATCAAATTCTTACAAACAGAGCATATATTATCTAAACTTACCCTATTGAAGAAAACTGGAGATCCAAATAATATTTCATAAATTCTATGGTCGATACAATGACCTTGTCAGCAAATACAATTTATCATTGAATGAAATGCTGACTGACGTTTTTCATACCAATTGTTAGTCCATTATTTATACACTGAATTGACCACGGATTTTTTCCGTTATTTCCTGATTATGACAACGAGCACACGGCGGGTGTGACCGGTCGGCAGGGGATGCTCACTCCTCCATGGCACCTGATCCCACCTCTGATGTTTCGGAGGTCCGTGTTTGCTCTGCTCTTATTTTGTATATTTGTTTAATGGACGTTGAGATTGAATACTGTTCGTTATTTCCAAATCCTTCTTGCACGATCTGTCTTCCTGAATGCAAGTTTCCTGATTTAGTTAATTTCAGATAGATGAGGCGGAAATTTATCTTTTCAGATATATATTTTAAACCAGAGGCCCATGGGACAAAATACTCACCTGAAACGTCATTCTCTTCCCGATAAATTTTTGTACCTTTATGAGCACATTGACGAGTAAATAAGTTTATAAATCAAAATAACAAACACAATATTTGATTCAAATATTTATTACAGTTTCGTAATAATTACATCCATGTACAGGTTAATAAATAAGACGAAAGTCTACTAGTTTGATCCGAATAAATCACACATTTTCCACCAGTTTCACCTCGTGTGTTTCCCTTGTTTCTAGGTTTATTTGTATATTCTTTGACATGACAACTCTGTAACTAATAAAAAAACCCATTAAAATTCCTTGTGAGAAATATATTTCTTTAAAACGAGAAGTTTGCCTAGATCCCTTTCAAGTAACAGAACTTAATATATATTTTCAGAAAACATATCTTAGTCAGGGATAAGTAAGGACCTTTTTTCCAGTAAGGTTTATCAAAATATGGGAAGTTGCAGAAACCACAAAATCTGAATGTATTGACGTTTTTAAATAATATCTTAATCGAATCATTGATAACTTTTGAATCGCATTTACCCGAGAATCTTCTTTTACGAAAAGGATTGAAGCCCATATATTTAAAATTCTATCTAAGGAAACTTTTCACTGAAATGTTACTCATAATAAACAAAACTATATTTAGTACAAAAAGATGAAATATTTCAATATATGTTGTTCTTACTTATGTTTGTTTAACACAACCACCACTGTAGAGTGCGGATTTCTGTTGTAACACTTGTTGATTCTGTCATTTATTTTTCGCGGATATGACGTCCACTTCCCGTCATAATCCCGCCAGAACCATTGCTTGTCCACTGTGTATGTCTCAGATTCCTCATACCCATCAGCTTTAATGTCGGAAGAGGAATCCTCAGAAACTTTGTCATTTTTGAAATACTGTCCTTTTGGTAATTTCAGACACGGATATCCCAGCCCTGCTTTCCCTCCAATACCGACCTCACCAGTAGCTTATAATAAAGAAAGGAAAAACACTAAACAGGATAGTAGTTTCAATGTTAGTTTTTAGGGCTTTAACATGATAGTTTCATGCAGATCAAATTTAGCATTTCATTTAAGCACAAGATTCATGATGTATAAAAACATTTGGCTTTTTATAGGTGTCAAGTAAAGAAATAAAATAAATATTCCATAAAAACCCTTTGTTTACGATTCATATATTTCTGATCTTTCAATATGTGTTTACATTTAGTGGTACCTTTTGAAAGCTCACGTCGATGGTGTTCGGGCGGTGTTCTGTTTAAGGCTCTTTTATTGTCACATTTGGCCTCTAAGAAGCTGATCACCTCTGGTGAGTAGGGATCACTTTACCAGTGTTGAAAATATTATAAAAGCATTACGTTTGGAAGACTACCAAGGTAAAAATATTTAATTTTTGTATCAATTTAATGAAGTACTTTTTAAAAGTCAATAACATTTGGATGGATTGTAGGAGTCTTTTGGGGAAGTTGAAGTATCATGGAAAACGTTTCATTACAGCAAATGACATAAGATACTTTAAGGTGAAAATAATTAGTGGTCTTCACTAGATGGAAAATTTCTTCACATTTCAAATTATGTTTTTAAATAATTATTAAGCGACCAAGTAAAGGACCGTTTTATGTTGCTCTGAGTCTGCCATGCTGTTAATCTTCAAATGGCAACAGTTAGATCATGTAGCTTAAAAATATAAAATTTTCTAAATCAGAGTAGTTTTTCAAATTTCAGATGTTTACAAGAATGTACCATATTAAGATGTCAAATTTCCCGTCAAAACCATATCTATGACTTATTGAGCACATGTTTGACCATTTTACCTAAAAACAAAAAAAGTAAACAAAATAATTGTATTTGAGCGTTAGTTTCGAAAAATCATGGGATACTTTTATTTACAGGAGACATTTTAATTAAGCTTTCAGTTAAATCAGCACTTGTACAATTATAATGATATTAATAAAAACACACAAAAACTATTCCATTCCGCTTGATCCGAAAAACAGAACCAAGACTTCCCTCTCCACCATCTTGATCTCCCAGTTCCCAGTCAGGACCTATATCAATACAGTAGAACAATCTTGTAACGAATTAGGGACGGAAAATTTTGTTATGTTATTATCATTGTTCGTCATACCCATCAAAAGTACTTTGCTGTGTCAATTTGTTATAAGGGTGTTCGCCATAACAGTGTTTAACTATAAGTTGTCTTAGTTCATAAAAAAAATTTATCAAATTTAGCCTCAGTGTTTCCATTCCTCTTATTTAACGCGTTTGTGCATTTACCCCTTGTCACGACACATCCGACTGCTATTATTGTGTTATGAAGAATTCTTGGTTCACAACAAGTAGTGACTTCATATTTAATCCTATCCATCAAGGTTGCACCATATCTGTATTCATTTCTACCCCCGGAGTCCCATTCAACAATTAACCATCCAGCTAGCAATGATAAGAATAGCATGAGATTAATAATGGTATCTTCTGTTGATTAAGGACAGATGATACGTTCCTCAGTAATATGTATTTTTACCCAAGATTTTGTCATGGAAGCATTGCTACTTTAATATATTTACTCACAAAAGGATGAGGTATCATTCCATGCATTTGTGCAAGATAGTAATTGATAGTGTACATGTATCTTAAACAACCCTTTCAAGGGATATATTTAATTTCCCAAAATCATTATTTTAATGTTTCAACTTTTGAAGACGAGAAACTGATTTTGAAATCAGAATGTAATTAAAGTGTTGAATATTTTTCAAACATCACAAAAATATATAATACAGCTATTTGAGGAACGTATTGTGAAAGACGCCAATACATTTAAGTGTTTGTAATTCGACCTTTACAGTTTTTGTAATTCATGAGTTATCTGTTATGTCTGAAGATGAATAAAGCAACAATAATTGTTTAATATACGTGTAGTTTATTTGCCCACCTCTTTATATAATTTTCACAAAGTTTAATACGACAAACAGAAGACATTATGTATCAAGAACAACAGAAGATCTATATTACCATAAATTAGCATTTCATTGTATTTGACGTAATGAGAGACTCATCATGAAATCAACCTAGGGTCACAAAAAAAATTTAAGGTTAAATATCCCATTATATTTCGATTTGCTTCTTCTGTGATAGCGCTTTGAAAGGTAGGTAAGAAAATTTCTTGATAATTGCTAAGTTTGTATTAAAGTTTATATTTACTCAAATAGATGTTGAAATGAAAACAACTATAATTATACACACCATTCTTTGAATGTCCAATAACTGTACCAGGGCCATGATTTTCCTGATCTGACCTATGCCAGTCCGATCCTCGTTTAACTCTTGTCCCTATGTTTGGTAGGCAAGGGTCTCTCTCAACAAGTTTAATATTTGCCTCATCCTCGTCGTTTGAATCAGAGGGATCGTCGGTATAAAATGATCTTGTGGTATAGATATCCAATATATCGTCCTGGTATGAGAAGGATATGGAAATAACGAACAGTATTCAATATAATATGATCAAATATATAAGTACATGTGAGTGCTAAGAGTCAAAAGATACCTATCCAGATTTATTTATACAAAATATAGAAAACTGTATACTTGAATCAAATAACTACATTATCTACCTTGTCCTCTTCTGAAAATATCGTCTCGGGAAAACTACATTGTAATAATGAGTTGAGGGTTTGTCTGTTAATCCCGTCTAAGTTTTGTTCGGCTGATAAAATTGCCGAGACTTTCTGTACAAAATAGAATTAGCACACTGTTTCAATTTAGTCCTGTATGTCTTCAATTTTTATTCAATTAAAGGATTGCAATTCCTTCAATTTTAATCAATTCAAAACATCACAATTATTGAAGACCTATATTTTTCGAACACCGTCCTTTATTATATATTTGAATGTGAAGAATACACACACCAGATTTTGAGTGAATCTTGCAATCTGTTTAACTTCATGTGGATGAATGATCCTTCCTCCTTTTGAACTTAAATATTTCAGATATGCCTATAAGTATAATACAAACAGCTATTGAATTTAAAATTGTTTTTATTAAGATAACATTTAGTCAATGTAATTAATAAATTTAAAGTTACCACATCTGGATTTTCCCCTACAGGTATGCAGAATATTGGATGCTCCCTCCCTAGATGTTTCACCACATACTGAAGATGATCCTTTGCCTAGGATGTAGACAAACCTTTAAACCTCAAAGCCATCAAGATTGAAAATAGAAGGAGCTTGTTTTGATATGTCTCTTTGCATTGTTTCTTTGTCTGTTTCCAATTTTAATTTTGTTAGTCCATACTGAGTAAAGTAAGGTTATGACAAGAGGTTTGTGGAGTCGGATATGTTGTTTTTTTTAAGTATTTTCGTTGAAAATTGAAATTTTATGCACATTTTTATCTTCTACCTGTATGGTTTCTTTCAAGGGCGAATCCTCATCATCAGAAAATGTATTGAAGTCTGTTGGTCTACCATCAGATATCAGGATTATTCGTGCTCGAATTTTGATATCACATATCCCGTTTGAAAAGCCTTTGAAAGTAAAAGTATCATATCAACCAAAACAAGATAGATAAAAAATGGATACATTCCGGTAATTTGAATATCCTTACCTCTTCCAACTTCAATGGCTCCCATACTTAATAAAAACGCCCCTGTAAGTGGAGAGAGTCCTCCATATTCTAATGCATCTTCAAAAAATGAAATATGATGAAAATTAGATTTCTATATAAAAAATGGTGCAACAAATCTTTTTAAATGTATTAGAAGTTACTTTGCAATACAAATACGTTTACCTAAACAGCCTTTAATCTCAGAGTAACGATTTGAATAATAATGTTGAAATTTCGTGATTTTTCCACAAACAATAACAGCGATGTTCTCATCTTCCTGTGGATGGTTGGCAAACTCTGATAATGATAATTGTTATATACGATTAATATTTAAAACACAATGCGAGAAATATTGTTTTACCATAAGGTGTGTAGATCACCATTAAAAAGTTGCATACTGTCGATGTAATGTTACCACATCGGATCAATCCTCAAATCTTATGTCCATTTTTATTTAGTTTCATTTTCTTTTGTATAACGTACTGCATTTCCTGTAGTCTGCTCGAGGTCCATGCATACACACATTTATAAGGTGAGTTAACCATGCATCGGACACAAACCTTGCTTCAGACAACTTTAGGCAATAAACTCTCTTTGAACTTGAGAGTCTCATGTATTTATTTGTTTCTGTCTTGAAGCTGAAGTTTAAATTTTTTTTAATGATGCCGATAATTTTTATGTTGTGATAAAAAACCCGAGAATGGCCTTGAAATTACGTCATATTTTACATCATCAAAGGGGAATAACCATAAATATATGATTTCGCAATTTTATTTTAGAGTTATACTTCTTTAAATTCGACTTCCGAGTTCCGAGTAGGACTTTGTGAATTTTATCGGTGATTGGCAATTTTGCACAAATTTTGAAGAAATTTTACTTCAACGCTTGTATTATTCTTATTAGAGCTGGTTTCTACAAGTATGAACATTTCACCGTACATTGAACACAAATTAACCATGTTTCGGACACTTTCTGATGCATAGACCATTACTACTATTTTCATACAGAACCCAACTGACAGCTGTTTTTTGTGGAAATAGAAAATAAAATATCTAAATTTTCAGTACAAGTTATCAATATATGACGTCTAGAATCTGACTCAATTTATTTCTACAAACCAGAGCATGATAACCCATGAAAAAAGGCGCGAATGACCGCATTCCATGCATTTTAAAGCATTTTAAAGCATTTCTAAAGCAAAGTGAAGCATCTTGAATCGTTCTACATTTGTGCAACGATATCGCCAATTAAATTTCAGTTAAGGGTTATTTCTTAAATAAAAGGTAAAAGTATATTCATATCAAGGACTTTAAAGCACAGCAATAAAGTTAAGATATTTTTCCAGTGCAAATACCGTCTGTCCAATGCATGGTAAACAATGTCCGATCCATGGTGAATTCGAGGTTATTTTTAAAACATCGATTTTTGATAATATTTTCTCAATTAAAAGCATATAATTGTGTCCAAAATTTATATTTTAATCACATAATCAATGTTTAGATTCATTTTGATAATTTTCCGTCGATAGGGAAATCGCTTGAACTTGTCAAGTTACAAGGGTGTCCGATGCATGGTGAATTCACCCTATATTTTTTTCTATCAACAAAACACTTCTAATTATACGTAGCGGCAACCATTCAAGTTTCATAACTGAAATTGTCTAAATATTAGATTATTTTGTTAATATTTTAGTATGTAAATGTTTTATTGTGGAAATGATCAGTATTTTTGTTTATGCTGTTCTTGCAACCCGTAGTTGAAACTATTTTTAGATTTAAAATCAAAATAGCTGTTAGAAAGTCAGTTTAATGTTGAACGTAGCAAAATAACGTGTGATAACTGAGCAAAAGAAGTTGAAAATGTAGTGTTTTACCTTTGATGGTTATTTGAATTTACAGTAGAATCTTAGATCTAAGTTTTGAGTGTCAGGAATAATTGTTAATGTTTACTTGTAAAAATATATGTTTCTTGGAATTTTTTTCTCGGAATAAAGCTGTGAACCTACATGAATTATTTTGTATTTTTATTTTGTGTAGCTGAACAGAGTGCCTTACAAAAGAACAATGTATGAAATCTGCCCCAGACCGTTGAATTTTGAATACAAAACTGAATTTTTATGAACCTTTGAGGCATTATGTCAACTGATATAAAACAGTCGATTTATGATTGTCTGGAGTTGACGTTAATAAGCTAAATCCAGTTAACCCCCCCCCCCTCCTGCTAAAACAGTGAACATGGAATTTAGTACAAAGTACTACTATTTCAAACGCGTTTGTTTTTTTTTTAAATTGGATAGAAGATATATCTGTATTCCCAAAAGTTTGTTTAATAAATTAATAAAGAATATTCATAAAATAAGTAAATAAATAAGAAATTAATTTTTTTAAATTAATTTAATGTTTCTAATGTTTTCTTACCGGAAATGATTGTAGAAAATATATCCTTTATTTGACTGAAGCCCTCTTCGCCAATACTTTTAGAAGTATCCAATATAAAAACATTGTAAGGCCCATGTCCTTGCTGATACCGAAGCTCAAAGTCTTAAAAATAAATACAATTCAATCTTTTCGATATGTATAATGCTGATAAATAAAAGTAAGGATATTTCTTTAAGGGACACCGACCTTCAGCCAGGAAGGACAACTTTGAACTTCCCAGAAAGGTCTAATTAAAGAAGAAATTTTTATCCCGTAATGGCATTTTTAGATACCAATGTTTATTAACATAATATGAAATTAGAAGTGATTTTTGGAGCTTTGCAAAGAACCCTGAAGCACATTGAGAGGCATATAATGCAAATTGTAGCATGAAAATATTTAATTTACAAGCTTCATTAAAGATTCGTTAAATTAAATTATAAATTAAAGAGTTGTCCTTCCTGGCTGAGGGTCGAATTCCCTTAAGAATGATATTGTCTTCGAACACACGTTTTGCGTAATATGCAAAATATATATTTTCTTCACATAAACAGGTTTCATTCATGAAAATAACACATATGACCGTAGAAAGACAAAGGTTATTAGCACTTCTGTGTTGTATTTTCAACTTATTTGTACAATATATAAATTTGGTTTCAAGATGGTAACATGTAATTCACTTTAGTTTGACAAAATGGTTTCATGCCCAAGAAAAACAAACAATAATCAGACCCATTAAAATGCTATTTCATATATTTTTCATCTCTTGAAGTTATCTCAGCCATTGTTCAATATAATTAAAATCTCTCAGCTATTGTTCGACATAAATAAAATGTTATCAATGACAACTTACTCTTTGAAGCCTCAATTCTAGCTTGGTTTCTCCAAAACATTTCAGCATCCCTGATGTCAATATCCATATCTTTATTTCTAGTTCATGTACGTATCCCTTTTCTCATCAAGTATTTTGCTGTGTTAAATTCATTGCTGTATTGGGCATTATACCTTAATTGGTGTAGAAGTGCGATGAGCCTTAGTCTTAATTTAACATCCTAATAGTGCTTTGAAATTTCCGTTTCGAAGAATAAAACTGGTTGTTATGGAAAAACAATTGTACATCAACACAACTCCTGTTTCTATAAATATTTTACATTTGAATGATATATTTCTAAATAAATATTGACCCCCTAAATTACATAGTATCATAAAATAGAATGATTAATGTAATAAAGAACAACTGGACATGCTTATGACCAGATGACTAATACAATCCACTCCTGAATTTTTCAGAAGAGACACCTAAATCATAAATACATGTACCTTGTGCTCCTTTCAAAAAGAAAAAAAGAAACAAAGATGTTGGTTTAGCAGACGAACAATAGCACAGATCCTTGTATTTATAACTTTATAATTTTGAATTGAATGAATGTGAATTATGCAAAACCTTGCCAAGAAATGTTGAAAGTTGTCCACAGCATGATATAATATACAACACACTTCCTTAACATTATTATTCTGAAATCATATTCAATAAAAATAAGGAATAACGATGGATATTTGGACATTGATATTATTGGAAAAATGCTAAGGCTGTTAATGTTAAATTGTAGAGTGTGGGAAATAATATATCGTATTCCTCTCATAGAGGTTTTAGAATTTAGTCTGGACATGCACGGATTGAGGAAGATTAGAAACCATTGGCTAATCGAATAACTTATTTGACTTTTGTTCATATGGATTCTATTGTCCCGATCATATAAAAATATTTTTCGTGCTAGGGACCATTCATTGTTTATTTTTAGAGGAACCATCTCATAGAAAAATGCTTGGTTTGCAATTAAACATAACTTAAGTTACAATGTTAACATTATTTGAACTAAAGACAAAAATTATTTCACAATTCACAATTCATTGACATAAATGCACAAAAATTGATTGTAATAATCAATTTAATCAAAAGTATATGCTTGGGTTGATCAAAAGTACTCAGAGGTTTTTTAACATTTTCTTTGAAATTCGTTAGTAAAGTTTTGAATCTCGTATCGTTCACTAATGCTAACTTTACTTAATTAGTCCTTTTCTTTCCTTGTGGAGCACAGGGTTACTACAGTCACTTTACCATGGTTTAAGCTATTATTTATGATTCATTCCAAGTCTTTTCAATGTTTTAAATCTCTTTCAAACTTCACATTCTCTGTGTAATGGTTTCCCATTTTTTCTTTGAGCTTGTGGATTCCAGTCCAATGCCCCTCTAATGTATCTTATAAAGGGTGTACCGTGTATGACCTATCCATTACCATACCCGTTTCTTGATCTGGAGGACAAGGTCATCCGCAAAATCACTGTTGACAGTGCCAAATTTTCAAAATAGATAAAATTAATGATCAGATATGATTGCCATTCAAGAGATAGTTCCTGTTCTCAAAACGCAGTTAGGTCAATGCAGCTTCTGTTGGATCTAATGTATGTCTGTTCATGCATCCCATAGACCTTTACTCAAACCATCTTTCATCCTGTTCGGTGTTACTCTACATACGATCTTGCTAGCTACTGGCAGCAGGGTAATGCCTCTTCAGATTTCACGGCAGTTAAGTTTTCCCTGTTTTTTGCAGTTTAACTATTAACAGTAACCCTTTCTTCCATTCTGCTGGTATTCTTTCATCTTTCCAAAATTTTATTTAAAAGTTTAAACAGGCAATCACATCATTTATTCTTTTTCTTCCACATTTCAACACATTAGGTGGTATACCATCCACTCCAGTCGCTTTATCATTCTTCATTGATTAAAAGTGTAAATATTCACTCCATCTTTTCATTGGTTCATTTAATTTCGTGATAAAAATTGCAGACACTGATCACTAGTAAGCTCACATTATTTCTAGATCTGTACCTAAAATTCAAATATACAACTGTCTACATGATCTTGTTTGGAAAAAGAAATGAAAGGCAATCAATTACTGCATGAACTTCTGTCCAATTCTCCTTCATTCGTTAATATTGATATAGAAATATGTTCTGTTTCAGGTACAGGGTAGTAATGACCAAAGGTTTACAAATAAACTTAACAAGAAGAGAAGTTTCCGATGCGAAAAGTGTGAAAAATACCAAATGATCATGACAAAAAGTATATATAGATCTGAAAATTTTTGAGTCATAACTATGCGAAGAATTCTAAGATAACAATGTATGACTAGCTCAATATACTCATCGTTAAAATGGTAGGTCCTGTCTGAAGGAGAATTGGTTTCTCGATCATGCACCAATTTTAATAATTTTTTTTCAATGCATTTTTACGCAACCAAAAACATTAGAAACATACGCAACCATCCTTATTATTCATGGAATTATATTTCAAAGCTTAGCATACTTAATACCTACGTGTTCTCCTTAACTGTAACAATGACAGTGGAATTAAGATTTCGTTTGTGACTGATTTTGATTTTATCGTTCATTTTTCTTGGATTTGGATTCCAATAACCTTGTTAATCTTTCCAAAACCACTGATCTACGGCTGTAAAAACCGTTGAATTTGATAATCCATCAACCTCTATATCTGATGATTCGTCCTCAACCTTGTCGTTTTTTGAAATACTTTCCTTGAGAAATTGTCAAGAGAGGTACATTAGCTGAAGGTTTTTCATGACCTTTTCCAGCCTGTAAGTCAAGATAGTTTCCAGATTCAGTCACTGCATAGAAAAAAAATGAAAAAAAAAATGCTTTATTCATGGATCATTTTTTGTTGTTTGTTTGAAATAAGATCTCGGACTGAGTAGCGTACCTTTAAAAGGTGAACTTTCAGAAAGATTAACAAATGGATCGTTTACAGGGCAATTACGAGCTGCTTTCCTGATTTGATCTTGGAGATACTCAATTGATTTGCTGAAAATGGATCGCTGCAGGTATAAATAAACATTTGATAATATGTTGCTCTAGGATCTCCAAATAAGTTTTATTGTGTATATATAATGTCAGTATTTATAAATCCGTTACAAAATAAAAATACAGAAAAATATTTTAAGCACCTTTATAGTATAATTGAAAAGACCTTTATGTACATATGCATAAGCAGAATATTGCAGATATTGAAAACAATAATTACCATATCTGTAGATCATATTTTCCATTATGTCCAAACCTGTTTTCTGTAGTTTGACCGTTTGGCCATCGTACCTGTAAGAGAAGATTTTTTTTAATGTGTTTGTGTTGCTAAGTATTGAGTACACCATTTTTTATCAATTATTACTATACCTTTTCATTATTTACAAATTAGCTGTCGGAGAAAAATATGCAATCATATATACACCGGTATCCGTATCCTAGAGGTAGAGCGCTGGCTTTGTGATTAGGAGGTCTGGGTTTGATTCTCGTTTGCGGCGTCGCGTCAAACTTAAGACGTTAACATGATTATAGGTAGTAACTGTTCCTTCTCCAAGCGCTCGGCATTAGAAGTGAAAGTCACTTTTTTTAACATGACCTTAAAAACGTAGGTCCAGTGTCAAGGTAGGCGCTGGCACGATAAGGAAGTCTTACTGTTTAATGGCCCTGAGTGCCGAGTATAGGTCTAAATTTGAAGTTCTTCACCACCATACGGCGACATCTCTATATGAGTGAAAAATTCTCGAATGGGGCATTGAACAATATACAATCAATCAACCTTGTACAGACATTTCTTTATCCAGTTAATAAAAGTAAACAAAAACAAACGTCATCATTGATTACGTACAAAGACAGTTCCATTTCGATTCACTCTGTAAACGGATCCAATACTTCCAGTACCGCCGTCCTGATCTCCCCATTTCCAGTCAGGGTCTATACATAGATCAATATCCACATATAAAATTTTGTAATTTTTTTCCAATTTGTGTTTTAACATTAAATAGTTATCAACATGTAGGACGGGTTTTACCTCTTTTGACCATACAGCCCGTTGCAATAGTCTCATTTTCTAAAATTCTGGGTTCGTTACAGACTTGAACGTCGTATTTATTCCTTTCCTCTATGGTAGATCCATATCTGTAGCCATATGTCTCACCAGCATCCCACTTTACGTTTAACCACCCACCTGTTTAGAAAAATCGTTCATGCCAAAAAAACTTTTTTCCCGAGATTTTTATGACTTTCCAAATTTATACATAAGAAATTTTAAATATAAATGACCAGTTATCAATCAATGATTTAAGAATTTAAATGTCTGTTGCAACTACTTGGAGAATCTAATGTTTTAAATCCAGAAATTCAGAGAAAAAAAAAGATAAATATGAAAATAATCAAAGATATTAAAACAGAAGAAAACTAAAAAGGCGTGAGTCTTTGCTTATCCGCACAGCAATTATTTTTCTAAGCACAGCAATTAACAGTTTTTTAGATACACTTTAAGGCCAAAAATACAGGCAAGTGCAATGAAAGGTTGAGGCAACTACATTGTCTCCTATTAATACAGTCATTTAAGCCAACACTTTTAAATTCAAATATGGAGTGACTTTTTCCAATTGAATATTAATATGGCATCAAAGAACATAATGAATTGCAAAAAACATAAAATTGTTTATATGTGAATCCAGTTCGCTTATTAATATACTAGTACATGTGATATTGCATTAAAAAATTCACAACTTTCAACCATGACTATTGGACATATTCCGACTTAATTATTTTTTTTTACCAAAAGGTATAAAACGAAAATGTAATTGAAGTGTTCCAACCTTCCTTTATATGCCCGATAACAGTCCCAGGACCATTGCTATCCTGAAAATTCCACTTCCAGCAGTCCCTTCCACGTTTGACTCGTGACCCTAAAGGAGGCATCCGAGGATCTCTCTCTTGAAATACATCATCCATTTCATCGACAACTTCTGCCCTCACAGAACCCCCCGAATTATATAATGTCTTCTTGGAGCAAATTTCAAATATATCCTCCTAAAAATTATAAAAACGTATGAAAACTTAGGAATACTAGAGCGGAGTTCTCAATAAATTGATCAAAACTTTTTAAAACGAATTTCACGATTAAATGTGTAAAAATAAAGGTGCTGGATTCATAAAACATATTACCTGATCTCTTTCTGAGAACTCTTTATCAGGAAATTTACATGCCAGTAACATAAGAATTATCGTGGTCATACCCTTCATTTTTCATCGTAAAGGATAACATGGATGCAGTTCTCTTTGAAAAGAAATATGTT